GAAGATTTTCCAGAGAGCTGGGTTTCTGCAAAACCCTTTTGTTGGGAAAAATGCAAGATAACTCCTTTTATAGGTTATTGCATGCACATGCCGATTTCAATAAGACTGAGTACAAACTCGTCAGTATTCTGCTTAGGATCCACCACCACTCCTTGGCTCTATTTTTGTTTCGTGTTAGCTAAGTTCCTAGGCTGCTGCAGATTCTACGGCGGCAATTCGCTTCGACAGTTTTTTGCAAAAAGGTATTAGTTTCAAAACATATGGAGCACTACTAGAAACGTTCGAATTGAAAAAAAGGTTTTTTGAGTCTTTCGAGTAGAAAAAAGCTTTCATGAGCCGGCTTTGGGTCAGAACTTTAGTTTGTCTTGCTTCTTACTAGTTGACTCTTACATTAAAACTTCTTCTCAGTTTTGAGGTGACTAATGTGGTAAGATAGAAAAAGAATATGCAAACAATTTATATACCTTAATTTGAATTTGATTTTGTAATTTTTGAATACAATCAATTTCTACTATAGCATGATGCACTTTGCGTTTAATATTATTTATTTCTTTTAATTTAGTAAATGATTTACTGCTTCTTATTGTAAATGTATCAGCTAAACTCAGCATTCAACATTACTATTCGTCTCCATTTTAGCGATAATAAAACATCTGTTGATTAAAAGAAATAAGTGAAAAAAATGGCATGATTTTCGAAATGCGGATTTAGTTCAAATGAAGGCTAATGAAGTTGTTACGGTGTGAATTAAACAAAATATCAAACAGTTCGTTGCCCCAACACTCATTACGACCCGTAACACACTATCAACAACCGAGTGAATCAAAGTCAGTTAAATTGTACTCAGTTGAATGATTTTTTCATCTTTTAAAAGTAAAAATGTAAAGAAAAATAGTTCGTACCTTTCCACGGTTTCACCCTTGACCTTTTCCCTTTGTTAACTGAAATATCCTGTAAAACAAACTGTCAATTTTGAATTCAAAGGTGTCGATACGATAGAGAAAATCGTTTTCTTTCGATCTTAGCATACCGACCTAGCTATCCAAACAGAATTTTCCTAGAAATATGAAGGTGACACCCTATAGGAAATTCAATTTTCTAAAAACAGCCAAAAAAGGTTGTTTTAAAAGCCCTGCAACAGTTTAAAAACTTGAAAACAAGACGGCCGACCGACATCGTTTTTTCAGTTTTTTGAGATTTTTGGCATCAAGCCTTCATCTTAAAACAAAAATAATATTATATTTGGAATCAGCGTCAAACACTGCATCAGACGATGTGCCTTTGGAGTTATTTAGAGACAAAACATTTTGGAGTAAAAACTGATCGGAAAATAGACAGTTCCGTCGATGTGCCGTTCTCTTCAATACATACGGATCGCTATTCGAATAACTTGCATTCATTGCAAAATATACTCCATCACCGATAAGACCACCAGGACAATAACTTCGACAAAAACCATGATCCATGATCAGTTTTTGCGTTAGCGGTGACGTTGTTCCATGGATGAGACGTCGACTACCATGGGGAATTATTTTTTGTAACTGTTGATGAATGTGCCATAGACGAACGTTTTGAATTCTCGTGATAGAATAAACAACAGTGGATGGTTTTCCAAGTGATTTTGCAAAAAAATTCGATAAGTCTTGAAATTCTTGCGATGATTGTGAGAGAGGAATAAGTTGCACTGATGATTCGGTTATTGATGCTGCAGTCCAATGTGGAGGAAATATAACCGTCGAACAGGAACCCATCTGGCTGCGTATTGACAACTCTTGATTAAGAATATCCCATACTGTATCATGCACGCGAGGTCTTCTCTGAGGATTGAGCTGAGTCAGGTAACGTATCAGTTTGTCAAGTTGAGAATCTGTTTTCTTAACGGCATAATCATATGGATCATTGTTGAGTCGTGACATTTCGTGAGCGATACTATCGACGACTTTATCATTATAAATTATTTGCTACCTGGGAATTTCCACTTTTCCATAATATGTCCAGCCCCTCGTGAAGTTGACAAAGATCATCGAGCTGAAGGTCGCCTAGATAACGAATGCCAATATTGGCCATTTGAGATGCATGCATGTTTGTTTAATATTTCAATTCGTTTTCATGTTAAAGCACCAAAAAAATAATCGTTTCACCGAAAAACTACGATTCTGTTCACCGACGAACAAATAGCAAATAACGCTTTTTCACCGTTGTATGTCAGTTACAGTTATGTTACGCAATCATAACATTGTAAAGCAATCAAGCTTTTTGTATAGTTGACATTTAAACATGTGCAGCTGGCAGGTGTAAAAAACCAAAAATAGAGTAAGTGACTGTTACAAGTTCCAGATGTAAAAATCGGCGACATATTCTGCGCCTTGTGTTCGACAGAAAGGGCGTTCAATTACTATTTGAATCGTATCAGAGATATCAGCCTGACCTGAGTTACATCTAACCAATTTTCAACTTATCCATACTCAACGACAGGTGGCACCAAAGGAGAATTTTGAATATTCAACGGCTAGAGTTAACTGTGCCCTAGAATCGATAAGTTATATACCATTCGATGCAGCTTTTTGCTCTGATTCCGAATATGTTATTGGCTTATAGTTCTAATGTTAGTAAGCAGAGAAAACTCAAAAGTTTTCTCAAAAACTGAGAGTTTTTGGAAAACCTATAACTCAAAAATTTGATTCTCTGGTTTCGCGCTAATTATGATACCTAGAAAAAAGCTTCCAATGGCAAAAAAATAGAGCGTTTGCCGAAGTATATGTTCTGCTATTGAAATTGCCAAAAGTCCACTTTTGTTTTTTCACCGAATGTCCAAATGGTTGCCCACTGTGAACTAGTTTCGAATCGCCTGCGGACTCATTCTCGAAGTAGATCTTTTTAGGGAACAGTCTAAAAATCAAACTGATTCTACAAGTGACAATGGCGCAGTGTTAAACCATTCTATCTAAGATCAAGTCCTTACTTTGGCTGGTTAGAAGCTTCTTTTGATTGTCGTGCAGTAGTATTCTTTATCATTTTCAACTTTAGATTTCTCAATCCCTAGCGTTCACTACCAGACTTCTGCAGGAATTTCCTGAAAATGAATTCTGGAAACTCGAAACCCTGGTATACACATTTTATCAAACGATAACTTTATATTTAAAATTCCATCTGTTGAAGATATTTTTGCAACCATTTCTTCTCTTAAAAACGATACTGCAGCTGGCTCTGATGCTATTTCGGTTAAATTTCTCGAGGCGACAGCATCGAATTTTTTCTGTTTCACTCAAAGACGGATTATTTTCATCCATTTGGAAAAACGCCATAGTGTATCCTATTCATAAGAAATATTCGAAATGCATGGTAGAGAACTATCACCCAGTGTCATTGTTGTGCGTTATAAGCAAAGTCCTTGAGTGGTCTATTTTTGACCAACTGTTTGGATTTTTAAGTTTTCATTCTTTCTTCTCTTCTACTCCGTTTGTTTTTCTACCGAAATCTTCTACAATTGACCCGCTCTTGTTTCTTCTTCATCATCTTTACGAAAACATGAATTCTTCCATTGATTCTATTCTTGTAACATTTGATCTAGAGAAGGCGTTCGATAGAACTCCTCACCAGTTACTTCTAGCGCCTCTTTCCTCTCATGGTGTTAAGAATGAAATGTTCATGTGGTTTTCTAGTTATTTGTCTACTCGTACTCAGCAAATTCATTGGCGATTCTCTTTCTACTCGCTCGTTTATTCCATCAGGAGTGCCCCAGAGTTCAATACTGGGGCCCCTTTTCTTTCTCATTTTCATCAACGATTTACTTGATCACATTTCTCTACCTTCAATTGCTTCTCTTTTTGCTGATGACTGTACTCTACTCTCTGCTGCTATAGTTCTTGCGCCTCTCGCTAATTGTCAACCATACATAAATTCTATCGAGGAGTGGTGCACTTCACATCTTATGTCTATCAATACTTCGAAGTGTGAATGGATGTTTGTTTCGGATTCACCTCACCATGGAGATCTTCTTCAGTTCAACCCTGCAGGCGTTTCTATTCAGAGAGTAAAGAGTATGTGTTTACTAGGTATGAGTATTTCATCGAATCTTCGCAGAGATGTTCATGTAGACAGACTACTTATTTTGCTTACGAGGGAACCTCTCGAGGTAATTAAAACCTTTTCGACTCAGACTATTTTCATCATGTAGGGAATAGTCAGCAGTGAAAACCCCAAGTTGGTTTGGGCCCATACGCCTTTTTGACGGAGATATGGGTTAATTAATGAAGATGCCATTAGTAATAATTAATTAATAACTCACGATCATGATCAGCCAGGAGTCGGAAATTTTCACCACAGTTGAAGATAGATGTTATCTACTCACTGCAACACTTGTAGGCTTATAAACCAAAGCTTTTGCAAGATATGAATTTTTTATGATTTAGACAGTTTTAGTGAAAATTCACCATTGAAAACCTAAAAACTTGTTATCACCTTTTAGATACCTCTATCGACTCAGTAAAGACTTATTTCATTTAGAAATAGGTCCATAAGAATCGCTGAGCTTCTGCAGCGTGAACGGAAGTACTTAAAAGGTGATAACAAGTATTAAGGTTTTCAATGGTGAATTTTCACTAAAACTGTCTAAATCATAAAAAATTCATATCTTGCAAAAGCTTTGGTTTATAAGCCTACAAGTGTTGCAGTGAGTNCTGGCTGATCATGATCGTGAGTTATTAATTAATTATTACTAATGGCATCTTCATTAATTAACCCATATCTCCGTCAAAAAGGCGTATGGGCCCAAACCAACTTGGGGTTTTTCACTGCTGACTATTCCCTACATGATGAAAATAGTCTGAGTCGAAAAGGTTTTAATCATCTCGAGAGGTTCCCTCGCTAGACGCCGTCTATGTGCGATGAATAGAATATTCAGAAATTCTCCAGCGGAAATTAAGCTACAAATCTATCGGGCGTGCATCATGAGTGCTATAGACTATGGAATTGAAGTAAGAACATTCAATAGCATTTGATATTGATTTATTGATCGCGAAGAAATAATTGATGTTGCATTATCAAGATTGATTGAGAATAATTGAAGTCGAAGAAGGGTTTCATTGCTACTTGCCGGAAATAATCCCAAATTTACTGAATCTACAACAACTAATATTGAGAGCGAGTTAAAGTAGAAACCAGCTAATGAATATTGCACTTTACTGGTATTCAATTTAGTCAGTAATACACAAACATCACCTAGACTGACCACATGATAGATTATAACGCTATTGAGGATAGTTAAACTTTGAGGTGCCCCTCTTCGAACAGCACTCAACGAATACAATAGTTCTGCTCCATCCATTGTATTGCCAGAAAATTGTCGAACTTCAATCGCTTGTGCTGCACAACCAATGTAGAGTATATTAAAAAGTTGTTCTGCACAACGAGGTTGGCAACCATATTGTGAAAAACATGGCTGTGCTGTTCATA